TTTATAGACATACAATTTTTAAAATATTTATTTTATTGGTATATAAGTAATTAATTTGCCGTTTCATGTAGTTGATATTGTTTCGATAGTTGTTCAATAGCTGTTCAATAGCTGTTCGATAGCCGTTCAATAGCTGTTTGATAGCTGTTCGATGGCCGTTCAATAGCTGTTCAAAGTGGTTCGATGTCTGTTCGATAGCCGTTTGATAGCCGTTCGATAGCTGTTCGATAGCTGTTCAAAGCTGTTTGATAGTTATTCGATAACTGTTCAAAGCTGTTCGATAGCTGTTCGATAATGGTTTACATATTATGATAATTTGTTATTCATATTTAACAGACTTGTGGACAGTTGTCTGAGGAAACATGCTAATTTTTGTTTTCTTATCAAGTGCAGAAGGTAAGCGTTCTTTGTAAGTGATACATCCCCTACTCTAAAATGTTTAAATGAGATGATATCTATCCTGTTGTGTCCGCCATAAAGAGTCTGACAGTCTTCAAGTACAGTTTTTGAGAGACGTGAAGTGAAAAAAGCATAAAAATGGCTCAAGAGATGATTGATATGTCGCGGCGAGCAACCAAATTTTATCAAAGAATATTAGATGCTGCAAAGACTGCATTTTTACCATGGGTATGTAATTTTTGTGGCGTACATCTTTTGTACAAATCGTGTATTATATTTTTTACATTATATTTACAGTGCCTCATCAATGTCCGCATAGACGGATTTGTAAATATACGGCATCGACAGGGGGTGCGTATGTTGCGGCGGAACGCACAAGAAGATCTTGTAGAGTTATGGGGTGACACCCGAGAGGCCCGCGAGTGGGCGGACATATTTCCGCTTAATATCTTTTGCCTTCGAAAGCTTTTTGGGTTCGAACCCTACGATGATTACAGCGATTATTTCGGTGATAAAGATTGGGAGCTGGAAGAGCTAAAAAAACCTCCTAACAAGAAGCATAGAATTAACTGTAAATATCTTCTTTTTAAAATTTTAGTACGTTCAAATTAAATTTGTTCGATCTCGGCGAGATCGCCCGAAACTGAAAGAGACGCTCAGAGATGAGCGAGAAGCGGTGTGTAATCGACCGAACGCGGAAACTCGCATTCTGCCGATGTGAATAACAAGTTTTTCAGTATCGAACGTTCTCGAACCAGGTATTTGTCACGGTTTTTCACTCTAAGAATGCGATTACGCACCGAGCGGGTGACCGCGACACTGTTTGTTCTCGCTCGTGTTTTATTTTCTGAGGCACTCGTTTTAATATAACGGCGAAATTTAGAAACGAAATTTTTATGATTCAATCTTGAACAAAATTAATATACTAATAATAATTGTTTTTTGTTTTAGAAGCGTCCACATTATTATATTTTTACATATCATCTTACTATTTTTACATATCATCTTACTATTTTTATATTATATTTTTATATTATAATTTTATACTTTATATATTTTTATATTACACACACACACATACACACACACAAATTATTGAATAAACATTATTATTATTATTATTATTATTAAAAGAGTGTCAATTATTTCTGCGCCTCCACCATATTACCTTACGCTATCCTTTTTCTACTCGCAAGCACCCATGCGCTGTTTGTCACAGTTTTTCATTCTAAGAATGCGATCACGCACCGAGCGGGTGACCGCGACGCTGTTTGTTCTCGCTCGTGTTTTATTTTCTGAGGCACTCGTTTTAATATAACGGCGAAATTTAGAAACGAAATTTTTATGATTCAATCTTGAACAAAATTAATATACTAATAATAATTGTTTTTTGTTTTAGAAGCGTCCACATTATTATATTTTTACATATCATCTTACTATTTTTACATATCATCTTACTATTTTTATATTATATTTTTATATTATAATTTTATACTTTATATATTTTTATATTACACACACACACATACACACACACAAATTATTGAATAAACATTATTATTATTATTATTATTATTAAAAGAGTGTCAATTATTTCTGCGCCTCCACCATATTACCTTACGCTATCCTTTTTCTACTCGCAAGCACCCATGCGCTATCCCTCTCATACCCGTACGCTATCCTTGTCGCATAGCATAGCAAACGCCTCGCGCTATCTCTCTCCAACGTGCATGCGAAGCTGTTCGATAGCTGTTTAAAGGCTGTTCGATAGCTGTTCAAAGCTGTTCGATAGCTATTTGATAGCTGTTCGATAGCTGTTCGATAGTGATTCGTGCATGCGAAAGCCATCCTTCTCCCACGTGTATGCGAACGCTTCGCGCTATCCTTCTCATACTTGTGTGCTATCTTTTTCCTACTCGTGGATACCTCGCGCTATCTCTCTCCCACGTGCATGCAAACGCCTCGCGCAATCTTTTTCCCACGTCTATGCTAACGCCTCGTCTATCCTTGTCTTACGCTCGTACGACCGCTTCGCGCTATCCTTCTCCCATGCCCATAGAATATCATTAGCGCTATTAATATTCATAAAAGTGTCAATTATTTCTGCACCTTCTTTTTTTCTCTTCCTACTCGTGCATGCGAGCGCTATCCCTCTCCCACACATTGCGAACGCCTCGCGTTATCCTTCTCGCACCGCCTTGCGAACGCCGTATCTCGCATCATCCACGTGCATGCAGATTATTAGCGCTATCCTTTTCCAACGTGCATGCAAAAGCAAACCTTGTCTTACACTCATATGGACGTGTCACGCCCATAGAATATCATTAGCGCTATCCCTCTCCCATACATTGCGCACGCCTCGCGCTATCTCTCTCTCTCTCTCTCTCTCTCTCTCTCTCTCTCTCTCTCATACCTGTGCGCTATCTCTCTCCAACGCGCATGCAATATCTTCGCGCTATCCCTCTCCCACACATAGTGGACGCCTTGCGCTCTCTCTCACATCTACTCGCGGACGCGTGCGTTCCCTCTTCCCCGCGGACCCCTCGCATATCGGTTTCGCCGCGGTCCCCCTCTTCCCCGCGGACCCCTCGCCTACAGGTTTCGCCGCGGTCCCCCTCTTCCCCGCGAACCCCTCGCCTACAGGTTTTGCCGCGGTCCCTCTCTTCCCCGCGGACCTCTCGCCTACAGGTTTTGCCGCGGTCCCCCTCTTCCCCGCGGACCCCTCGCCTACCGGTTTCGGCGCGGCCCCCCCCCCGCGTGACGTTGTACCCCCCGCGCCGGTTTCCCTTTGCACCTTACTTCCCCTCTCAGAGGACCATGGCTTAGAACTCTCATAGCTATACTACTGGAAACCATGCCGGTCTCCTTGAGATAAATAAAAAATAATAGATACCCCTTACAGTAGAATTTTCCGACGGAAGAACAAGGAGATAATAAGAACTTTTTAATGAAATATTTAATAAACGCAGCTGCAATAACATTGATAATAATTTTCTAACGGACAAGTACAACGATAAAATCTCCTTGACGAAATATTTTAGAAACACAGCTGCATCAACGTCGACAAAAATAATTATAAAGAAGTAAGACCCTTTTCATAGTCCCTTTAATCAGTCTCGTGTGCGTGAATAATATATAAAGAGTAAAAGTCGTAATCAGAAAGAAGAAGTAATCAGTTCAAAATCACTGTCCTCGTCTTGGTGTCATCTCCAAAGCAACCCGGCAGCCGCACAGCAATACCGCAACACATCCAAGCGAAAAGCGTCAAGTTTTACCAGCAATCTCAATCTACCACTACTCGATCGCAATTCATCAGTAAAAGTAAGTCTCCAATTATTCAGTTTTAATTATATTATAAATCCCCGCAATAAATAACGTTTTCTACTGCTTCCGTAGTGAGAACCAGGGAAAAATTTACAACTTGCGACCCACCGCAATAAAGCGAGTCCATTCCGGGAGTCGGAAGACTCAAACTTCTGCATATTCATCCGTAACTACTAGTAGTAATGATTACCTATTAAGCATACACATAGAAACAGCCATTGAACATACAACTCTTCCTCTTTCCCCCTATCACTTCTCCTCCAGCTACTCTCCGATATATCCTTCTAAATCCCCTTCTCTTGAACCGCCGCTTTCCCCCAATTATTATTCTCTTTATCCACGATCGTCCTTGGCAATTCATCCCCTCCTTCTCCCCTTCCCGAATTAGACGAGTTCGAGAAGGCATTGCAGGATTCCTGCAAACTCCCTGATTTGGAGACCGAATCCTCCTATCAATCTTCACCTCCTCCTTTTTCCCCTCTCGAATCAGACGAGTTCGAGAGAGCATTGGAAGAGTTTTGTAATGAACTCCCTGATTTCGATGACGAATTATCCTATCAATTCTAGACTCATGACCTAAACTCCTAGTATTCCTTCATACTTTCACTCACACAAATCTTATTTTTTTTTACATATGTACTTTTGTAATAACCAGTCAGAAGTTCAATGTTAACAATAAAATCTTGCCTCATCATTGTAACTGATGTCCTTCGTATGAATGTAACACCCGCGAACAAATAACCATTCACACACACATCCACACAAATTAAGATAACCTTTTTCCGATATAAAAAATTTATGTATACCAACGTAATTTAATTTATTATGAATAAATTTGTATTTTTAATTTAAATCAAATTTTTATTAACCCCTCTCATTCCCAGTCCGAAGATCGCATTTGGTCCCATCCCGTCTAAAAGAGATTAAATTCTCTTACCAAAAAGGGACCGCCAAGCGAACTTCCGAAAAACAGTGTAATAGCGACTCGAACGGTCGTTTACCTAATTTTCGGACCGTCAAGTTCGTTCGACCCGATTCTAACGCCTCGAGACGTTTGACTTCGTGATCATAAAGATAGTGGTTGCGCCCTTCCATTGACTCATCCTTCCTCGAGTCTGGACGTAACACTGTATCCTGACAAGATAGATATTTATTGATTTTATAAGCTTGTTTTTCTCAACTGCAGCTCGCAGTTATATATTGAAATATAAAAAACTATAGTTAGATTTAATGTTCAGGACAGGAAGCTCATAATATTGATAAATTAAAATTCATGATTAAAATAGGTATACATTTATTTCAGTCAATCCTATAATTAAAAGGTCGAAAGTCAGCTTCCGCGAGGATGCCAAAAAACGATGGGAGACTACGTATACGTAATCCGAATCGCTTTCAGATTTGCTTGGCCCCCTGTCACACATCGAGCTCGGGCGTGCAACACGAGAACACTTACAAGGATTCTTTCGCGAAGCATTGTTACGTCTCACAGCCGTTGAATTCTCAGCGACATCGACACAATTTTAATTCATTAAATAATAACGGCGACAGTCCTGTCGTTGTCGTTATTTCTTCTTCTATAGTAATGTTATTTACCCATCTTTTTCCCGAATATCATACCTTATATTGTCCATTAAATGAATCCTATATTGACCTCTCTTCCTATATTAATTCTATTTACATCGAAACTATGTTAACGTTTTATTCTCGATCATTATCCCTGTTTTAAGATACAATAATTTAACCTTTAAACTTTTAAAAAGAAGATTTAAGGCCGCGCACAAGCATAAATTTGAAGCGCCATAAATCCGCGTATGTTGCATTCAATCCGGGATATTTTTTCTTCATGTATTCCAAGATTTCATTTCTAATGGTGTCTTGAATTGGATCGTCCTATTACAAAAATACGTTATTTGTTACAATTTTTCGTGATGGCGGATTTGTATGTTTGGCCTGTTTACATACATCGGCCACATTGTAATCCGCTGCCGCATAGTGGCAGGAAATGGCCCGTCTGGTTCTCTTGGATTTGTTGACGCCGGATCCGTGAATGAGCAACGGATGGAAGAATACTGTGTCGCCCGATTGCATCTCGAGATTCACCCATCGGTTGATTGAAGGCAAATCCTTTATAACAGAAAAGAGAGAAAACATTTAATGAAACGATAAAATTAATATTAAGAAGATGGATAAAAGAAGATATCTTACCTGTATTCCGTAAAAAAACTTATTTATCGTGCCATCCGAATTTAAAGGATAACTATGTTGGTACAGGCGCTCCATGGTGTGTGTTCCAGGTGCTACATAAAGACATCCATTTTCGGTATCACATGGTTCCATGGCTGTCCACGCGGCCACTATATGATCGGCGGGACGTATCGGTAAATAGTACAGGTCTTGGTGCGGCGGATGTCTGCAGAAGCGTATTACGTTACTTATTTTATCAGCTTGATATGAGAAGTATGCTGCTATTAATATTAACTTCAAGGCTTTTCATACGATCACCTTGAACTACCAAATCCAATGTCGGGCGGCTTCGCGATGAGCATACTATGTATCGCTAAAATGTTTGGTTCCGTAAAGCATTCGACTATGTCGAGGATTTTCTTGTGCTCGAAATAATGACGGAATATCGGATCCCGATTTACGTCCTGTATTCTATTTACTGATTTCCTGTCCTTTACATCATACATCATTGTGATTCCGTTTCGTGAAACTTTGCCTTCGATAATATCATCAAATCTGAGAAGAGCAAGTGAAAGAGACAGAATTTCAATACACAATTTCTGACGTATGTAGTCTTTAAAATAGATCTCTTACGATTCTTTTTCGATAAACTAATATATCTAGATACACATATTGTTTCCCGAGTTAACGTTGCACCGACGTGATCGATATCAAAGAAAACTCATATTTGCAATTTATTATATACTGGCATTTCAGAGATATCCTGTTTGAATATTCAGATATCAGTCATCTGTGATATCATAGTCGGTTTGCGATATTTCCGTGAGCGTTAATATATCGTTAGCAAATTTACCGAAACATCGGGAATGTTTTAGTAACATTGGATTATCAAGCTATATATTCATTGCCGTAGTCGTCCACAAATTATTTTGAATTAATGTTTTGGTAGCAATTACAAATATTTTCGCTTTGAAAACTTTTTTAATATCTACATATACCTACCCAGAGAGAAACGTGAAGTCGAATAGATGTATAGTCGATATCTATTCGACACGTCTAAAAAACGTTTTTGAGTTTTTTCGGGTGTTATGGCTTCCAACTGTCACGAGCTGTTTTTCAGTGCTGCTCAAAATTCTGTTAGGGTTCAGTATGGAGATATCGACGGGGCGTATCCCGTTTAGACACGGAACGTTTGGACACCGTACGATTGGACACGCACACTGCACGATTGGACACCGCACGATTGGACACCGCACTATTGGTCACTGCACGATTGGACACAGCACGATTGGACACACACACTGCACGATTGGACACCGCACGATTAGACACGCACACTGCACGATTGGACGCCGCACGATTGGACACCGCACTGTTGGTCACTGCACGATTGGACACAGCACGATTGGACACAGCACGATTGGACACGCACACTGCACCATTGGACATCGTACGATTGGACACCGTATTATTGGATACCGCACGATTGGACGCCGCACGATTAGACACCACACGATTGGACACCGCACGATTTTGATACCGCACAAGAGTGAGTCCCGATTGCGCACATTACCGATCGGACACGACAATATTTCCCGATTGGACACAGACTCGATCGAACACATGTCCGATCGGACACAGTCCCGATTGGACATAAATCTTGTTGGAAATATTTAGTTTCAGGGTAATTATTTGGAACAGTGCTGGGATTTACTTGCACATTTCGGCCCGATTCCGTGGCTCACGCCTATTGCCCCCCACTCACCGCTCGTGCGTTAGCAACGAGTCGCCAGATACGCGTAACTAAGGAGCGCGACGCTTCGTCTCAGGAGCGTTCAGATGTAAGAATAGGCGACTCGTTGCTAACGTACGAGCGGTGAGTGGGGGGCAATAGGCGTGAGCCACGGAATCGGGCCGAAATGTGCAAATAAATCCCAGCACTGATTTGGAATAAGGTCTTTTCTGAATTTTGACAAATATGATTGGATTTCTCGGTCAGCATATATTTTACAAAGCAAAGGGAAGTCCACCCCACAATTGTTGTGTGGATGGGAAAGTGTATGCGTGGACGCAGTGGGTTCCCCCCCCCCCTATGGGAGGGCTCTACTTCCGGAAGATATAACCTAACCCCAAACTAAATTTTAACTTTAATTTAGAAATAGGACCAAATTTCGGCGCCCGCGCTTGTTCGCAAGGTCGAGTTGCTGGGTCTTCCAGATTTAGTGGTCGATCGTGACGTTGTTTTTGTGCTCGAAGTGCCTGTGGACGCGCCGCTGCCCTATATTAATCGGGGTTGCGGGCTTGAGTTCCGGTAGGATCCGGCGCCTCGTTTCGTGGGTCGTGGTCAATTTCTCAACTGAGCCTCGTCCTATGAGTCGTGGTCGTTCGCTTCTCCTGCAGGCTCTTCTGCGGCAGTGGGAACAGGGTCGTGGTGCTGGACGTGGACGTGGAGGACTTAAGGTAGGAATTTTTTATTTCTGTTTCTCTTATTTATCCTATTTTTTATTTTATTTGCACATTTTTCCTTTTCTTTTTCTTCTTCCTCTTACTTTTTAATTTTTAATAATTGGTTTCAATCTACTTGCTGTGAGGCGCGTAATTTTTCTTTCAATTCCTGTGCGTAATCATCGTATGTATACGTGGGCTTAGGCGGTTGCGACAATGTCGTCGGTAATGTTGCTCGGTGCCTGTAAATTAGTTTGAAGGGTGTGAACCTTGTCGCCGTATGCGGTGTCGTATTATACGTAAACATCGCGTAGGGAATCTATTCGTCCTAATTTGATCGGCGTTTATATAATATCGGAGATATTCGGCTAGAGTCCGGTGAGATCTAGCGCTCCGTTGCTTTCCAGATGATACGCGGTTGTTTGAATCTTTTCGATTTTTAATTGTTTGCAAGTGTTTTAAATATTTCACTTAAAAAATTTGTTCCTTGATCCGTTAATATTTTTTCTGGGATACCGTGCTCGAAAATTATTTTTGTCGCAAATTCTTTTGCAATTGTCGTGGCTTCTTGGTGCGGCATCGGAAATGCTTTACTAAATTTTGTTAAATTATCTTGGAAGGTTAAAATATATTTATTTCCGTTATTCGTAACAGTTAGTGGACTATGATATCTAAAGCACATTTCTCAAAAGGCTTATCGGTAGTATCCGTTATTATTAGCGATGCTTTAATTTTTCGCGATAATTTGTTTTCCTGACAAAATTCGCATTTTGTTATATAATCTTCGACATCTTTTGTCAATTCTCGCCAATTGTGCATTACGCGAATTCGATTAATCGTGCGCTCTTTTCCTTGATGTCCTCCCACAGGTGCATCGTGATATTCGCATAGAATACGTCGCTTCTCGTCTTCCCTATATTCTCGCGTTATCTTTGTGTCGTTGCTCTCATCCTCCTCGACTTTATTGATATCCGTCACATGTCGACTTAGCGCGTCAGCGTTTCTGTTCGCTGTCCCGGCCTTGTGTATGATCTCGTAGTCGTATTCTTCTAATTGCAATCTCCATCTAATTAATCGAAATCCAGGGTCGGTTACATTGAATAACCATACGAGCGACTTATGATCTGTGACTATCGTAAATTTTGTCCCGTATAAGTACGGTCGAAAATGTTTAACGGCCCATACTATTGCTAATAGTTCTTTTCCGGTCGTGTTATAATCTTGTTCACCTTTTGATAATATTCGATATTTGGCATATGCTATCGGTTGATCTTGGTCTATCTGTCCTTACGATAATATCGCTCCGATTGCATAGTGTTCGGGAGTCGACCTCGACAAGATCGCCCGAGAAGTTAGATACGCTCTGACTTGAGCGAGAAACGTGTGTAGCGCGAATCCGTAGATCCGCTGGAGGAAAGGGTTGAGATGAGAAACTCACGTAAATGTAAATTTGATGAAAGCTTTATTAAAATACACTGGGAGCGAGCCACGATGCGTATTTCGCAATAAAGATCGGAAATCTTCGTATATGTCCTTTTTGTTATTGCAAATCTTGCACGCGGACGCCGGAGATCTTGATCGCGAGGCAGAGGACATTCGCGATACGGTTAACTCGATCGTCGGCTCTCGCACTCCCCACTTTCACACGTTCACAATATTGTAGCACTAAATAATTAAAGAATGCTATTTGAGATGTGAACCAAATTGACCGCCGCGAGAATATGAACGCGATCGGATGCGAGATAATTTGGAACGATTTTGAGACAAGTAAGTCTACTGAGTACGCGACACGAGCGAGAATAAGCGAAATGCAAATGAGAAAGATCGATGAATTTTGACCGGCTCGAATCGTTGTCGCAGGCAGACTAAATCGACCGACCGCGGAAGCTCGCGCTCTGCCGATGGAAATAACAAGGGTTTTTCGACGTTGAACCTTCGAGAACTTGCTGTTTGTCACAGTTTTTCATCTCTAGGATCACGCGCCGTTCGGCTGATCGCGACGATGTTTATCCTCGCTCGTGTTTTGGTTTCGACTGTTACCGTTAGACTTTATCGGCGAAATATGCCGTTAAAATCGATCGATTGAATTTAATGGTTCAATCTTGAACACATAGTCTGATGCAACGGTTGTTACGATGAATTCTTTTTCAAAATCTGGGTATTTTAATAATGGTGCCGTCGTTAATTTTTCTTTAAGCATTTCAAATGCTTGTTGTTGTTCCTGTGTCCACCCGAATTTATTTTTCTTTTTTGTTATCTTCGTTTCGCAATTATCGAGAAGTTCTCAATAAATTTTCTGTAATATCCGGCTAATCCTATAAAAGCTTGAATATAATATTTTATTTTCTTAGGTGTCGGAAAATTTCTTACGGCTTCCAATTTAGATGGATCCGGCGATATTCCGTTTTCCATAATTATGTGACCTAAATATGTCACTTCTTTTCGCAGAAATTTGCATTTGTCCGGCTGTAACTTCAGATTGTTTTCTCGCAATCTTCGTAGGACTTCGATGAGTCTCTTGTTATGATCTTGTAAGCTGGCTCCGTAGATTACGATGTCATCTAAATATACTAGGCATTTTATTCTTTGTATGCCTATCAGTATTAAATTTATTAGCCTTTGAAATGTGGCTGGCGCATTTTTTAATCCGAAGGGCATTCTATTGTACTCGTAATGCCCGTGAAGTGTAGAAAAAGCAGTTTTGCATTTGTCGCCTTCTTCCATCGGAATTTGGTGGTATCCGGATGCTAAATACAGGGTTGTAAAGTATTTGGCGTTTCCAAGCTGATCTAATATATCCGTTATATTCGGTAAGGGAAATGAATCTCCTATAGTTAGATCATCTAATTTTTTGAGATCTATGACTACTCGTAATTTCGGTTTTCCTGACGCATCGGCTTTCTTAGGGACTACCAATAACGGTGCGTTCCATTGGCTCGTGCTTGGTCGGATTATTTCATTTTTTAACATTTCTCGGATTTGTCAATTTACTTCCTCTTTATGCTTCTCCGGCAGGCGGTAAGGCTGTACGTTGATCGGTGAGCTATCTGCTTGCGTTGCAATCTTATGCGCGACGGTATCTGTACACGTCAGTGGTTCTCCTTCCAGATGCATCACATCGCTAAAATCTTTGCAGATTTCAATTATCATTTTCTTTTCTTCTTTATTTAAATGCTGTGTACGTAATAATCGTAATACTTTTTCACTACGCGGGATTATTTCCTCTTTATTTGGCGTTCGTATTACGTTGATTTCTTCTGTTTCACTTCGTTTGATTTCCTCTATACTTGTTCGTTTGATTGCTCTATACTTGCGGCATTAACATTTCGATTATGTTATCCGTTGTATTTAGAATGCTTGCTGCACATAGGTAATTTGTAGGTTCTACTAGACAATGACCTATAAATACTCCTGGTATTGTTTCTTTTACCTATATCACGCCTATCATGTTCTTATCAGTAGCGACCTGTATTATTGTTTCGCTACGTGGTTTTAATGTCATTTTTAGATAGGGGTAAAGCTTTAAGATATGCTGTCTTACCTTTAATTGTTTCGTTTCAATTGCAAGTGGCTTGATGTTTTCATAGGAAATCAACTCCTAGTATTCCGCCATATTCTATCGGAAAGTCATCTTTAACAACGTACATAGTGTGCTTGATTCAGCGCTCTTCCAGTGTTATTGTCGCATTAAACTTTCCAATTGTACATATTTTATGTCCCGTTACGTCGGTAAGCATTACTTTTTCTTCTTCTATTAACGTTTCACCTTTAAATGTTTCACTTTAATTAGTGATATTGCGGCTCCTGTATCAAATAGTAAATTTATTTTTTCGCGTTTCGCTTCTCGCATCGGTAATGTGATAAGGTCCAATCCTGTCTGTATATGCGCTGTATTTTTAAAGTGTGAAACTTGATATTCAATTGCAGGTCGGTGCGACTTTCTTTCGTTCTTCTCCTTCTCATCGCTACTTTGCGCGGAGTTAAATTTCTTTTTTCCTTGCTCGCTACTCTTGCGATTTTTATTTTCCGGTCGCGAATTATACTGTTTGGTTTGACTCGATTGGTCTCTATTGGGTCGTCCGCGTAATAGCCAACATTCTTCGCGATCGTGTCCGGATTTTTTGCAATAATTGCAATATTTATTTACCGTATTTACGCGGGGTTGTCTATCGGGTTTCGGCAATGAAAATCGGTTCGCGTATCGACTATCGCGGTCGACAATCTCGGCCGTAATGCCCGGTTTTTCCGCACTTTTGACATTGCACGTTTATTTTATTTTCCTGTTTATAGGTCGATGCAAAACTTATTTTGCTTCGCATGCCGATCGCGGACGGTCCTTTAACCTTTTCTTCCGCGCTGGCCGCTGCTATTGCTTCTTGCAACGTAGCATATCCTCGCGATCGAATATTGTTTTAATTTAGTTCTGCAATCCTATTTCGAAATTTTCTAAGGCTTGCTGTTGTATTATTTTCATTATTGCGCGTTTATTATCTACTGTATGATGACGTTCTTCCGTCATTGACTCGTATAGCTCCATAGCTAATTTGTCGGCTCTAAGTCCGTAAGTTCGCGCGCTTTCTCCTGGTTTTTGTTTTAACGTGTTGAATTCGATTTGTAGATGGGTCGTATTCTTTTTACTTGCGTAACAAACCTCTAATTCTCGTTTCAACTGTGCGAAATCTCGAATTTTACGCGTTTGAAAATCTAGCATTGCTCTGCTTTTTAATTTCGTGCATAACACTACTCCTAATAGCGTTACTTCATTTAACAGGTCGATGTGTTCTACTGCATATGTAGTCGCGCTTAAAAATTCTTGCAGTTTATTTGGTGATCCGTCGAATTCCGGAATCATTTTGCAAGCCTCTTTTAATGGTAAAAATTCGTGTCCTCTTTGATGTCGTACATCCTCGGGTGTGAACTCGTACGCGGTCTCGGTTCTTCCTCACGGCGGAGTTCTATGCTCGTTGTTTTGCCGGGGTTGCGACCCTCTAGTTCTTAAATCGTCTGTCTCGACATGCATACTTCTAATTTCCTCTCTCATTTCCCGCAATATTTCCTTAAGGTCGTTAGTTGTTCCGTTTGTTTCTCTTCGCGGGTTGTATTGAGCTTGCGCGTTCGCTTGTGGCGTTTCTATTTGCTTCTTCTTGTAATCGCTGAATTTCCTGATCAACATCTTCCGATGTGATGGGTTGCGATGCGGAAGTGCTTGGGTTATACATGTCTCGAGTGTGATAAATTTCGTCGGGGTTAAAAATACTCGAATTGTATGACGTTAGTGAGAATTTGCGGCGGTGTGTTAGTCTGCTAGACGCGCTTATCGATGATTCGATCTCAAAATCTAGTTCTATGTTATTCGCTATTAAACTGTTATCTAATTCGCCGAATGAAAATTCGCGTTCGATTATAACGTTTGCTCCGAGTTCTGGTTCGGACAAATTCTCGTTTGAATTTAATGCGCTTAGATTTCTTTGTACGTTATCGCGTATATTCCGGAGTGCTTCTACTGCTACTCTTGTAGGGCTTACTGCGCTATTTCTAATGGCTTTATTCGCTGGTTCGCTAAATAGCCACGATTTATTCGCTACGCTTTTTGGCTGCGCGTTTCGGTTTTCCGACATTCACGCGTTTACAAATTTTTGATTGTTTGACTTACAATAATACGATAAGCAGCATTGTCTTTCGTTCGTTGTCGGCCGTCGGACGTCGATCGTCGCGTGCCGTTGAGATAGGTCGGTGCGCCTTCTCGGGTTGCGCTTATCGTTGTCGCCTCGATGTACCGGGTGACTCGAAGTTCCTGATGGACTTCCTTTTTCCTCGGTTGTAGTTGTTGACCGTTTGACGGAGTTTTTCTTGCTGTTTCTCGTTCTGTCGATTCCACGGAATTTTTCTTTCTCGTGGTTATGGACCTTTGCCGGTGTCGATCCTGTTAGAGCTGGCATATCCCACCGTTGCCACCAATTGATGTTTTGTGCCTCTAGCCGCTAAGGAAGAGATCTTTAGGGATTTGTACGCCCAAAGGATTAGGATCCACGCTCGAAATAAGACACTCCCGGACGTTAGGTAGAAATTAGTATATTTTGCAAGATTCAGTACACTTTTCACTTATTCGCGATTATAGTGATCGGGCGCGATACGTATGGTATTTCGATACTATGCGATTGTATTACTGAGCGAGCGAGCGAGCGAGCGTCGGTGTATCTCGCGCTTATTATATATCTTAATTAATTAGGTCGTTGATTAGGGAGGAGTGTGGTGGCCCTGACCGGAGCATGTCTCGTGCTTCGCTTGTCAGTCTATCTCGTCAGTTGCTTACTCAGCTTCCGAGAACTTGACCGTGACTTCCTTCTCTTTAGTCACGTATCTTACTTTTATTTTATTAGTAATCTTTTATTCTTTCTTAATTACTTTTCCTTGGGCTATTTCCCTGATTCTAATGTTTTGCTTTAATCAGCTCTTTCTCAATCTTTTCTGTTCTACTTTACTTGTTTTATATTGTTATATTAAGGAATTGGTCGGGTTACGACAAAGCCATCACCAGCATACCGAGCGTCATCAAAACCACCACCGGCACACCGAGGGTCCTCGAAATTGCCACCAGAGAACGAAGAACGATGCTGAAATACATCGGCTTCTCACTCTCAGCACATATAATTACATCCAGCGGATCTGTAGCCGGCGCTACACACAAGTCCTTCACGGTCACAAACCGACAGGACAACGTACGCCAGGCACTCCATCCGCTACGCAACCGACTCCCCGGAGCATCTATGGGGTACACGGCCATGACAGACTTAGTGGCAAACGCTTAAGCTACACGAAAATAAGACAAACGAGAATATTGTACATATACGAATAAATCTATTCATACGATAAAACGATTCATCATTTATAGAAGATCACTCCATTACGCTATTCGTATCGCCAATTAATTAGTTACACACACTCACATATAAGCACTAAAGTGACTAGCTTTTAAAAACGCTTGAAACATTTATTCAATATACATAGATATGTAGGTGTAGATAGATATTAAAAACGTTTTCAAAGCGAAAATATTAATAATTGCTACCAAAACATTAATTCAAAATAATTTTTGTCGATGACTACGGCAATAAATATAGAATTGTATATATATATCCGTCTGGATTTTCTTTATATGTAAATTTTTCATATAGATTTAATTCCCAGCAATTAATTTTTGAAGCATTCAGAAAGAAACGTGATGATAAAAGATAAATATACCTTTTGTGGCATTCATCGATCACATCTTGCGGTATAAGGCCCGGAAATACTAAATATCCATTCTTCTCGTAGAACACCCTTTGGTTTATCGTAAGATGATTTAAGATATTTTTTGTATAGCGCAAAGATCCAAGATCCATTGTCCAATTTTTTATTCAATACGATTGACTCTATGACTTTTCTTTTCCTCACTGCAGCTATTCTGAAACATATGAAGTTTTTTTTATATAATAAAAATCGCTGTTTTATATTAGAGATACAAATTAAAAACTATTCTCTATTAAACGGAGTATTTAATATTTAAAAAAAAAGTGAAAAAAAGGCGCCAAGTGCACGCGCACAAGCGCCTTTCGCTATAAAAAAAACTTATATAAAATAGTGTTATTTTAATACAAAAACACTGTCATATTTAAACTAAAAAACTGTTTTAAAAAGCAGCGCCAAGTTTTTCTCTAATTAAAAAGTTATTTTATACTAAAAATAAATAGAAATTTAATCTTACAGACTGCATTTCACCAATGTTATTTTACTTATCTGTAACTGTCTATGATGCATGACAAATAACTATATGACAAACTATATGACACTCCTTTGACAAATGCACTCAAATATGTATTCTTGATGTGTATGTCTATATTAACTGATGTGTATGTCTATATTTCTATATCGATAACTGCTCGCAGTTATCCATAGTGGCTTTTGACAGGTATAAGTTAAATTTTCCAGAGTGCAACATTATATAGCGTAGCACTCTTTCATTTATAAAAAGGTGAAGCTGCAAAATTCTTCGTGATACTTGGATAGTTGAATCAGGTATAGAATACAAACACACACATATCTTATAATAAACATATTATAAAATACATACATCTCTTTCTTATCATAAATATAGAATATTTTTATATGTAATGCAATGTTATGTTTTGTTTTTACACATAGCATAAATTACTTTTGCAATATTTTATTTGTCTCTATAAATAAGATAAGAAAATATTCTATACATTTATGACAGGATGTTTATATTCTATTCTATATATGTTTACTATCAGATATGTGTGTATTTTATACCTGATCCAACTATCCGCAAGTATCACGAAGAATTTTGCAGTTTTACTTTTTTATAAATGAAAGCGTACGCTATATAACACTGCACTCTTGCATTGCAAATTTAACCTATACCTGTCAAAAGCAGGTATGGATACGAGCAGTAACATCACGAAGTGCCGCTAGCGCTATCTTATGTCGAAGGCTCCAACCGTACAAGATTCGCGCATGCGCATTGGGGACTTGCG